CTCTTGGGCTAGTTTGATGCGCGACAGATCGGAGGAGCGTATAAATGCCCGTAGACAGCCGCAAACCAGCTTAGAAATTCTAAAAAAATTTGATTCTCCATTCTAGATTTATTTATTCATCGATCAGCCGCGTATATAGCTGAAAAAATATGATTCACGCGGAAGACCGCTCCGAAGACGCAAAAATCGCAGATAACCAAAGAATCTTCCAAAGATATTCTGAAGAAATCTACTCATAGAAATTAATATCAAAATCCCACGAGTCAAATATAATGCTTCTGAAGCTGAGGAGACGAGATCTAAAGCGAATAAGTAAATAGATATAGAGGAGCCTATTTTCTTATTATTTCTTCATTTCGTTTGAGGGTCCGTTATTACGTTGTGATTTTTCCCTTCTTTCAGCGTCTTCCTTCTCACCTTATATATGCGAGAATCGCGGCGGCTTTGCATGCTTACAATATAGACGTGAATCTTTTTCCTTCAAACGAATATGAAGATAATAAGATTTTTTAGAAATCTTGAATAACGAGATTTCTTCCTTTTACGCAAAAGCAATAATCTAAAATCTCGAGATAATTTTTATTCCTATAATCCAAAAATTCCGTTTCAATTTATCTCTCTTAGGATCATTGCTGCGCGGCGGCTCCGAAGAGCCCATGACAAATGCGATTATCTTAGGTCAATATATTTCGCTGAGCAATCCAGGCGTCCACGTATCACCCAAAATAGAAGATAAATCACATAATAAATCATCCCAAAAGCAAGGGCCGCGCGATCAAAAATCGAATCGTGCTGCCCGCGCCAAAAATCAAATTTTTAGAGATTTTCGAAGAATTTAATAATCTCCGAGATTTTAAAATTCCCAGGGAGTATGCAAAAGACGTTTTCAAGGAGAGCCAGAAAAGCTAGGCCCGCGCAATCGAAATAATCGTAAACGATGGCGCCATAATATCGAATATAAAATACGGAAATAGAGAAATAGAAACCGTTCAAAATCCTGAATAGAAAAATATATATGAATATCCAGAAATACGCATAAATATCAAACCAAAAATTGAAACCGAATCATATAGAAAGACGAACCAACAAATAGATAAATATCAAATTTTCCTCGGAGAATGATCATCATAAGGGCCAAAGATATCTTTGTGTCGGCGTTGCCTGGGATCCGCTGGGAAAGAGAGAGAGAGAGAGAGAGAGAGAGACAGACAGATAGACAAAGACAGAGATAAAGACAAGCCAGGAGGCAAATAGACCGAGACAAATAACAGACAAATAGATACAGAATGACTGCGACGATCTACGAAGTAGATCATTTGTCCGGAATCCGAAGTTCTAAATCCTCTCATTTGTTTTCCACCACGCTCTAAATGCCACGTCCTTTCTCCAAGCATGCGCCCTCGGAAGGTGGAGTAAACTCCTACTTTGATCCGACGCCGTCCTGACGTGCCCTAGAATGCTCCAAGCCGCTGGATCGTCCTCAAGCACGATGCTCTATGAACAGATCTTGCAAAGGTATGGATTCGGCATTTAAATTCAAACGGTATGGGGGCCGTACTTTAGCCTTGAAGTGTCCAAAGTAACAACCTTGTTTCCGCTCAAGTTTCATAGCAGATATTGGAAAATTTTGGATCAACATTGGGATGTTCTAAGCACAACCCTCTAACAACTAGACAATTCCGTGTAACAAGGGGTCCCCAATGAAGTTTGGGAAAAGCTTTTCGGGGTAGCTGCGCCCTGCTGCGCAGAAATTCCAAAGGCAGGACTCCTATTGAGGCCTGGGCTCAGAGCTGTTCGACCCAATCCTGTGGGACCTCTTCTCTCTCGTCCATACTACCAGTTGCTAATATGAAGCTCTTCCTGTGTTTCCGTTATGAAAGGCCTCAAGTCTTAACCCCTAACTACCAAACCCTAACCCGCCCTACCCCTGCGGAATCTTTCTAAAACTCTCTTCTCAGGCCTGTTACTAGTCCGTGCGGGTCAAGGTTTGGTATATTCCGTACCCTTTTCATTCTGATGTTTGGGCCCAAGGGACTCTATTCCTAACCACTAATTGACAAACCAACATCAGTGACCGAGTTTGCTACGCAGATTAGCCGACCTTCAACGTTCTCCCAATTTTCTGCGAAATTTGAACTCAGGGTCGCTGTGCAGATTTCTGCTTTTTGAAAGAATTTGAGCCCAATCAATGCATTCAAGTAGTCCCTTCCCGGCTCCAAGTTTGGTAAGCCGCGTTTCTGACGGAGGAATCCGCACAGAATAGTTTTCGCTTGGGCTGTAGCAAAGGTCAATTCAAGTCGACTTAAATCGACAAATGCCAATCAAGATATCCAAGCAAAATCCTGAAACAAGACGGTCTAAAACCGTGCCAAGAAGTGAAAACTTCAGACCGCCTCCTCACAAAGCCCAAAACGCTCTTTATGAAGATATCGAGCTCAAAGACCCAATATAAGATTTTGAAATCTGAGCATTACAATTCTTTACCTGCTAGACCCTGATCAAATTCGTCACAGGAACTGGCAGCGATTCGAGATGTTCCGCAGCAGCCTTGGAGGAACCATCAGTGATGAGAACTGTACAGACCCTCAAACTTTTGCTGCTTCCATAGAAACAACGTGTCATCATTTAGGCATCTTCAGCAGAAAGCTGTCTCGGACTGGCATTTAGGTTGCCTGAGCTCAGGCTAATCACTGAAATTCAAGCTATGCTTTCAGACCTGCGCAAGATTTCGACTTGGGCTGGGCTTCCCAGCCTTTGGAGACTACCAAGCTACAGTACAACAGATTCAGGAATTGTGCGTTGTTCGAGTGGGTACGTAATGCTTTGACCATTCTCTTCTATTGAAAACGTAAAGGAAAAATACCACCCCCAGAAAGTAGTAGGTGCAAGCCGATTTGCCAGGCAGTGCAGTATCCGTGCATATCCGTTCCACGTGCCGACGCAAACACTTCGTGAGATTCGCAAGAATTGAAAGGCTTTTTTTGTAGAAGCTCGGCTGAGGTGTTGCACTGCATGATACTGGTCTTTGTCATACGCGAAGCACATGGTGATGCCGGCTGCAAGCCAACTCCTGGATGTCAGATGAGATCTGGCATTGATTGTAGTGCGGGTCGGAGGCTCATTGCCCAGTCGCGTTCGAACACTCAATGCTTGTGCGTAAGCAAAGCTAATCCGGCTACGCACGGTCTTGACCAGCCATTTTTCCTATGCTGTGCACGGTTTGCGAGCAGCACATGCAGCCGACTACATATTATGTTGCAGGTTCATGCATGTTCTGCTTCCTGAGTCTGTCATGCAGAATGTGACGCAGCTCAAATAGTTGGCAAAAACGTCCTTGGGTATCTTGAGCGCGCCCTCCGAGAACACAAAAGATTGAATTGGTTGAATGAAAGAATACCAAACGATGATAAAGAGAAGAAATCGCAGGCTTGCACTTCACTTGACTGATGAGCGTGTATCGAACACAGTTTTTGCGCTGCAGCCCGCTGCTGATTGCAATTCCCTCTTTGGGCAGTCTCCTCACAACTGTTTCTGATGACTTTACTGTTTCGACCGCAAATTTCGAGACTTGCTATGTCAGAGGAAGGTGAGGGTTTGGGCGATGGGATCGTGCTTGAAGGAAATGGCATACATGTTCAGGACATCAGCACGGAATTGGCTATCCAACTCTCATTGGCAGTAGGCCAGCAACATGACGCAAATATTCATCGTGCCATGTACAAGAGGTGCGTTGCAGATCACCTCCCCCGTAAGCCTGCATGCGATGGGCGTCAAAGCAAAGATGTTCCCAAGTAAGATCAAGAGGTAGAATCTCATTAACACCGTCGGCTTCCCACGCATCGGCCGACTGCCACAGGATCAGGACTGCTGCATGCTTCAACGCCGAAACCCCCAGACTCCAAAGCCTTCAAGCCAAAGCCATTCGAAACAGAAGCCCAGAAGCCCAAATCGTCGGGCCAAGGATGCAGACTGATATCTTCGGGAGATGCAAGCTCCTGCAGTCCAACTCGGAACAGCCCTCAATCTGAAATCAAACCCACCTTTCTCTCCTGGAAGAGAATGAAAGAGATTAGATCGGGTTGTGCTGACTGGATGATAGGTCGCCATGTTACCCCAACCCTCGCGGTCAAACCTGAAGCGAAGCAACTACAGTAGGTCCAACCCTTACAAGCCCGGGGCTTGCAATCGGAACTTGACACCCTTTCCACAGAAGCCTCGAACAGGTTTAGTCCTCCTCATGCCGTCTGAGGCAGCCTCTTGTTCATGAGCGCAGTGGGCCTCGAGATTCTTTGTGCACACAACTCTGGAACCATCCAGTGCACAAGTGCAAGCAGGCAAGCTCCAGAAGCAAAGCATGATCCCGTGCTGTACCTAGATATCCACCGGATACTTAGCCCAAATAACGTTGCAGTTGTACTGCTCTGGGGCCAGAACAAAGCCTGACGTCAAGGCACCTTGCGTCCCCCGGTCCAAATAAGAAACGTCTGAGTCCCAAACCGTGCAAACACCAGGCATCAACCTCCTGCATTTTCCAGTGCTCTTCTTTGATTGAAACCACCCAAAGCTTGAACCATTGAAATTGCCTTTTTATGGGGAAGCATAATATGTAGCTTGTAAATGCGTGCGTTCACAGTCCAGGGCTGCGCCCTACTGTTTAACATCTAAGAAACTTACACGTCTCCCCAAGGCGTGTCGAGCAATATGCATGCTACATCCCACCCATATGTAGACCGGTCAGAACTTGCAGCAGGTCCAAGGCACAGCGGTCAATGCTTACAGAGATCGACAGCAGGGCCTGCCCAGGTCGCAGTAACGTGCAGGTGTCAACATCGACGGGCCACTTGCTTGTGGCGTGAGGGCTGCAGTAGCACATACGGTACTCCATCTGTAATTGGGGCGCTAGCCTTCCACTTCCACACCACTGCAGCCTGAACGCCTTGAACAAATTTAGGAAGGGTGAGTCACTAGGCTGCAAGCAGTGCGGGTCCTGCTCTGCAAGCTCACACATCCAGCAGCCGTGTTCTCCAACAGTCGTCGTAGTCAATGTGCATTTTTACCTGAGCCAAGCAATTCTTGGCCTTTCCTTCAAGCTTCGCTGGCAGCCATGGGGTCTCGTAGCAACTATATCAGAAGAAGCCATGTCCAGCCCTTCCTTGTGCCCTACAACAAAAGATACCGGGCTTCAGGATGTGGTGTTGCAAGCTCGGACCCGGCAGGAATCTGCATCGCGCAAACTTGCTAGGAAACGTAAGTATGCGGATGCACAACGTCCCTAAAAAGGATGTAACATTTTAGAGGCTCTCTTGTCAAGCCAAGACACATGAGGGAATCTCCTGGCAAAGTTGGAGATGGCAGCCATGCAGGAGATACAGCAGAAGTGGCAGACGAAAACCTGCAAGACCATTTTGCAAGGATTCCAGATTCTGCTCGTGGAGCTTGCTATATAAATGTCTGCAATGCTTAATATCTGCAATGCTTGCCAGGATCCGGAGAAAGCTTTTGGGCTCAGGCTGGAGATCTGCAAGCCTTTGGAGGGGAAAAGGCTTAGGCCCTACTATAGCAGTTGAATAGCCCCCAACCCCTTGGGACCAAATCTGGCAAGTCTGGAAAAGCAACGTGATGCCTGAGGTGGATCAGCTAGGTGCCATGCGGCCGCCCATGTGCAGACAAAACAATCAAAGTGTTCCTGATCGATTGCCTGCATTTGTCCGCGCACCGCCGCTCCGAGCGAGCCATCAAAGAGTCCCAGCTCTATGCTAGTCTCTGGTTGCGTGACAGCGCGCCCGTGCAGAAACTGACCTTGCGAGGGTATAGGGAAATCATTTACGCAAGCCCGTCCAGCCTGATGTTAATAATTTGGATCCACGAACAACTTAGCTTCCTCCAACTCCAGGCAGGGGATTACCCAAGGGCATGTAGCAGAGAAGTTTTTCAAAAAGACACTAAAGCCAGAGCCCTGCTTTGTGCACCACCTAGTAGGAGCTCCTTCGTGGCGGAGGTCCTTGTATAAGAAAGCTGACAAAGGGATCTCTAATCTCTTCAAACTCCCAAATTGACCCGGCGACTCTGCCGCCGTTCCAGTCGCCGGATGGCGCTGATGATCTCGATGATCACTTCCAGAAGGGCCTGAGAAATGGAGTGCCGTTTGTACTCATACTTTACCACGATATTCACCACGATTAAAATTACGACTAAACTCGCGGATACCGTGAGTGAAGCCAAGAAGAGACTTGGGGCTCAGGAAGGTCTGAAATTAGGTTCAGGGCTTGCGGTCTTTAGCTTTTTTGAGTTTCACTTGAGGGCTTAGCAACTAATATCTGGGTCACACCTCAAAGGTTTCAGGCCACAACCGTTAAGGGCAAAACCGTTGAGCCAACCAAAAACAATAACCTGGCACTCCTTCAGTATTCGTACGCAGCTGATGTACCAATATTACGAATGCTACGAGTCTTGCTAGGCTGGCAACTACTAGTGTTGCAGCATTGCTACCTGCTTTTCAAGCTATAATATCACGCTCTGCAATGCTACATATCGTTACTGAAACCAAACCTGACTACGTATCCTTACAATGGCCTGTCGTTCGGTATGCCCTGCGCGATCATGCTGCGCAAAGAGCCCTTGCAGCCACTCCTCGCAGTTTGAGGGGGCTGTCAAAACTGCCTACCAAGCTTGCAGGTCCGACATTGAGATCGTGCAGGATTGCGGGTGTCTTGAAATTAGATGCTTTGGGAATGGGCCTAAGGACAAGGCGCTGAGGATGTGGAGTTTGTTGGCATCACCTTTAAAGGCTGAGATGCCGGTGATCATGAACTGACCTCAGCCCACTCGACTTGGCAGGACGTTCCCTTCCCTACTCCGTCTTCTGCCAAAGTCGATTTCGACCATAAGCACGATTTCAATGATACTACAGTAGCGGGGGGATTTGGCAAGATTCTGTGCAACCTTTGCGGTCATACACGCTTCAAACTACCAGCCATTGTCGCGTCAAAACCCGATACAGTCTGTTGCAGTCACTGCTACTGGCCCCTGGTAGAATACGAGATTGTCCTGCCCCTTCCGCACGTCGTGCAGGGTGAAGAGCACTTCGCCTTTCCACTGCTCCTGTTGTCAAAACGCCCGGCTGGAGCCTTCTGGATTCTTGCTTTGAGGCTGGTATCCCTGGGAGCCAGACAAATGTCTTAAAATTACTCCTGGCATGGAAGAATTGTTGAGCGGCCACATCCTGACAGACTACATATGGACTCACCGTACTGTTTGGGTGTACTTCGCTCTGAGCACTCCCACAGATGATTCAAGCACAGCATCAACAAAGAAGCCCTTAGGCCAAAGCTGTAAGATCTGAGAAGGAGAGAGGGAACGGGAGACTGAACTTCATACGCATGACGCTCTCTACAAGTGGGGCAATAAAACAAGAGAACATGAAACGATGAGTCGCAGTCACTGATGGCATACTGAAGTACTGGTCTAAACGCCACGCCCGCTCCTGCAATCGCGTGAAGGTTTCAACACCTCTTTTATCCATGGCACGATGCTCATCCAAACCTCGAAGCCGGAGGCTTTTCATCCATTAGTCTGAAGAGACTGGGACCCACATGAGAATCAAACCAGTGGTTCTTACCTTGCAAGTGATGCCGAGGTTCCTTGATCAGTATCTCATCTAGCCACTAGAAGCAACCTTCGCAACCCTAGGAGGCCTTGTGCGTGCCAACCACCCTTCCAAAGTCCTGCGAAGCATTCCAACCCAAAGAACAGATGGCATTCAGTAGTGTTGTTTTTAGTAGGACAGGGGAATTGGAAAGCCCAAGCCTACAAGGTTGTTATGTGTAATGCTAGAACATGGCTTTGGATGTTGCGATGTGGGGTTGGATTCCAAAGCGAATGGTGAGGCATCCGGTCACGTGGCCCTGACTTTGGTTAAGTTGTGGATTTCAAGCTCCGCTGTATGTGTCTGGTGGGCTCACGATGCAAACCACCCCCGAACCCTACAGGATTATTGTGAAGAACAATTCTTGCCAATCGTCCCCAAACCTACAGGAGCCCGACACTGATACACGTTTTGGAACTGCATCGCTCCCTCCATCCTCCTCCCTATATGATATCTGTCAGTAATCAATGCATACATATTATGACCTTTATGTAAAGGGTATGCTCTTTCTACGCTCAAGCCCAGAGACTGAACCCAGTTATGCGACCCGTTTCACGGAGATGCTCATGCCAGGGACCCGAAGACTCCTGCGGAGCCACTTGGGTTCTTTTGGTTAACGCCTTTGGTTGAGGGTTTTCAAATTTCGATGAGGCGGTCAGCATCTAATGCTCGATCTAGTTGTTGAGGGCATGGGGTGTCGAGGCGTTTAATGTCGATGCGCACCTTTCGTCTCGGCATTGTCTTTCTCATCAAGTCCAGAAAGAGATACACTGTCAACGTGACACCATGCTCACATTAAAAGCCAGCAACAGGCGCGGTCGGCACGCAGCCTGGTCATCCGCTTTGTAGTGGTGCTTAGACTCTCACTCACAAACCTGCGGATCGACGGCTTTGGAGTGAAAAGGGCTTCAAAAATGGTGCGCGAAAGCAGTGGTGCCTTTTGCAGGTTCCTGGCTCAGAGCACAGCCAAAGCGCCTCCAAAAGCGTAGCCCAGTAGCATCCAGCAGCTATAGCACTGCCACAGCATCACTACTTCCGTCTTATCTTCACCTTCCTGAACAGAAAATCCCGTCCTCCAAGCCGTTCGAGCCGATAGCAACCTGGAAATTTGACAGCGAATGGTCCGAGACTTTCAAAGTTTGCATTCCATACAGTGCTTGGGGTGTAAAAGTGGCTCGACGAATCATCGCTCAACTTAGTGATTTCACAACTTCGTCGACAAAAAGGTCTATGGCCAAAGGCCAAAAGAGGGCTTCCATACCAAGCCCAATTAGCAACAGTAGCGTTCACCGTCATCAAGAATGGGCTTCAGGCGTGGTGTCTTCAATCTCCTCTCGATGATTGAAAAAAGCATGAAAAAGCAGAGGAGTCGAAAACAAAATCCGGGCGACGAAGGATGGCACCCCAGGCCTGTGCCTAGGACTGCAAACCAACAACTTTGGCGGTGACGATGTCCATTGATGACCACTAGTGAAAACACGGACTGGCACCACCTTGCAGCACTTTTCTGCCGAGGGCTTAGCCGTAGAGAAGCTGCTGAGACGGTGACGCGAAGCTGGGCTTGAAATGCACAGGATTCAAGAACTCGGGGGTGATTGTACAGTAGCAACTTGGGGTGTAGTTGCACTTGAGAGCAGTCTCCCAAGAGATGCTACTTCCCTCATCTCAGAGCAAACAAGTGTGACGCACTTAACCAGTTTGAGCAAAGTCTGGGTATCAGGTTCAAAGTTCATCAAGAACAGCGGCTTTGGACGGCCCTGTAGTGCGCCACACATCCTTCATAGAGCTAAGCCTATGTGCTGCTGCCCGCTGCCCCACAAAGTCAAATTTAAGAATCTCTTTCGTTTGGGATGCGAGGGAATGCTTCGTGAAGCCTCGAGGTCGAAGGCAATCCAGGAGATGACACGCCGCTCATGGGGTCCGAATCGATCAAACCACATGAACCTTTGGCGAAGCAGTCATTCAGGAGTTAGGGTTCAACTGGGGTCCTATAAGCGTCCGTTGCGCCCCAGCGCACCCAGTTCATGACCTGATTGAATGACTCACGAGATGCTTCCCGTGGAGGTTGGGGATCTGTCGAAACTAGTGTGTACTTGTGGTGGCAGTTGGCAGATACATTGCCTTTTTAGGACAAAATAAGCAAGGGTTCTAGGATCTCCCAGCTGCCCATTTACACGAGAGAGGGTTTTTTGTCCTACCTGCTGAAGCCAGGTTCAAAACAAACGACAGAACCCATCGTGGCACTTGCTCGGCCTTGACTGGGCCAGGGAGGATCTTCTTTATAACCTCAGCCTGTACCACACCAAGTGCCCAGCACCTTGCACAGATGCAGGGCAAGCTGCGGTAGCTCTCTCCGCATTTGCTCCAGCGACGCTGCAACGGCGCTTCGTGCTTGGACGCCCCACTCAGGACTGTTGGTGATCTCCTGGCCCGATCCGCTCCAAACCCAACATACAGGGCTTGTAGTCAGATTGTTTAGGTTCCCTTCGTCCGTGCACCAGCAGCCCTCTCCGAGCCCAGGGACGTTTTAACCCCTCAACTCCTCATGCTCTAAATTCCAATACTCCGCAGGACCCACAAACTCAAAAAAAAAACAGCAGCCCGAAGCCAGGCCTCTGACCCCGTGCCCTCTGAGAATGCGGAACCACCTTGTTTCAATGAGTGTCATGTGCGCGGGAGTTCTGGGCATAATGTGTGCTTTTAGTTTCGTCTGCAAGGATCGACCTAAACAGCGATTTATGCGTGAAAAGGTAGCGAGTAGCTTTGGGATTTATAATCTTCAAGAACTGAATCGAGCATCCAATGAGATCTACAAAGCAAACTTGTGGGCCGGCCCATACAACAGCCATTGTTGTTCTGCATGCTATGGTGAAGGCTGTCATGGTCATGGCAGTTCAGAATATCAGAGCTTTTTATTGCTGCAGCGTTTTATTGCTGCAGCGTTCCTTAAGTCATTGTCGTCGCTGTTTCTTCTGTCGCCACACCTGATGTTCCTACTTTATGGTCATCGTTGCTCTCACTCTTCCTGCTGCTGCTCCTCCTCCTGCTGCTGCTGCTGCTGTTGCTGCGGTTGCTGCTGTGGCGGCGCCGTCGCCGCCGAGGACAGCTTTGTCGTCGTTGCCATTACCGTCATCGCCGCTGTCGCCGCGATTGCTATTGATGCAAAGGTAGGCGCTGCTACTGTTGCTATAGCTGTTGCTGCTACTGTGGTAGCCGAGATGGAAGCAATGCAAAACACTATCATCAAGAATGAAAGCAGCCCTGGTACCCCGGCAATCGCTGGGGTCGATGAGCCCAAGCTGGCGCATCGCTACGCGGGTGAAGATTGGTCCCAGGAAGTCCACCTGAGGATTTGGAATTGCGGAAGCTGTGAGTTGATTTAAGCATTTTTGTTCAGAGTTTTAGGCTGGCCGCGTGACTTTCAGTTTAGTCGTAGATAGAGGGCACGGAGGCCTGACCACTGGGCATGCAGAGCTTGCTAAAAGTGCGACAGCATGGATAAAATCTAAGTGTGAAGCAAGCGCGTTCCCTCCATGATTGCCCAGAATCCAGGCATCCCTATGTTTAATGCGGACCCGGAAATCACTGGCCTGAAGCTCGTCGATTAGACGCTGTGCACTTCGCCGCGCAGACTCCAGGGGAGAAAGCCTCTTCTGTGAGGCACCCAAGCTGCTGAATATTATGGATTTTGGACGATGAGGCGTCCAGCCAGATACATGCACAAAAACCGGAGAAGCTTCTAATCTGACAAAATGGAGGGTTTTGACATTTCTCACCGCAGCTACTAGCAAGATGCAAAGCATCGGTGTTCCCATCAAGATGGGCCCATCAAAGCCTTCAACTACAAGGCCTGCGGCGCTACTACAACCCTTCAAGCCCCACTGACACCAATCTTCAAGCAAAAGCAGAGCCAGCCTAACATGACTCAAACCTCTATCACCTGAGATTTCTTTCACGGCAGCACCCGGGCTGCGCCTTTCAGGCATCCGATGTGCTGCGCTAAGGCTACCATGTGTGGCAGGTCCAGCGTTCCTGGGCATACACAGTTGCTCCTTGAATCATGCATGACCTACCGAATCTAAGCCACTTTGGTATGCTAGGAAGGCAAGAAGGATGATTTTGGAGATGCTTCTCGTCGCGCAGCGCCAACACTCGACGCTGTCCATCCCAGGAATGGGATCTAGAGGTGGCTGCAAAGTGCAACAGCAGATTCAAATCGAGGCGATTCAGATATGTCGTCTAGGACATGCCTGCCGCTTCGTGGTTGAAGATCCAACATGTATATCCGCGATCACGAGAAACAAGCGCCACGCCCCAACCTTATGACAGCCCAGTCCCCGCCGCCGCCGCCGCCGCCGCCGCCAGCGCCGCCGCCAGCGCCG